TGCACCTTTAATGTCAGCTGATGCATTAACTGGTATAACTAATGGGATCTAATTGCAAAGTGTTAACCATAAAAACAATAGTGGCACTTGGATGATGAAAAGTGTCTCTATATGAAAAAAGGGCTTATTATTACATTTTAATAAACGTATGTGAAGACAAACAATGAATCGTGCAAAAAGGTCAATGTTGATTTCAAGTTGACTTTAAAGTAGCCTTTTGCTTTGCGCCTGTTTATTAAATCGAAAAATCAATTCATAGTTATAATATTTTTCATAGTTGTAAATAAAACAAAGATTATTGGAGTATGTTTTATAAGAAAGTCTTTCTACTTTAATTTGTTTAATTTAATTAAATGGGTTATTTCCAGATTTCATAATTGTTTGTGAAATTCACTATAGCAAGTTCTTATTGAAATTTGTTTCGACACTGAATTGTTTTTCAGTGTATTTCTTTTTAGGTAAAAAAATATCAGTAAATTTCACAAATAATTACAACAGCAAGCAACACATGGAAGCATGAGATTTGAAGTAGAAAGACCTAAATAGTATTTTCTTCTAATACATATTCCCAAACTATTTTTTTTCATTTACAACTTCGTTGTAAGTAATATAATTGTTTACACTGTTCATCAAAGTTTTGTGATTCAGGGTTTTTAGTTGTCAAATGATGCATTTAGTTCTTTTTTTTAATGTACTGCTTTAATTTGTTGCTGCTGCTTTATTATACGATAGACTGAACATCCAATGTTACTCTTAAACTGCTGATAATATTTCTGTATTTCCTGTAGATTGTAAGCCATATCTATTGAATGCACTTTAAGGTTGGTTATTGTTTTTGGTAGCAATTTGCAACCGCTTTTGGAAAACCAAAACACCTCGTTGCCTTCTTGAGACGCCTTTAACTTTGTCTGCTGCCTTTTCCACTGTCTCTTGGATGCTTTTGTTCTTAATATGTCTTTTTTATCTTTAATAAATACTATGCAAGAAGGTACATGTGTTATTTAGGTCTGTTTACATTTGTGTGTGAGGAGTTTGTCACTTTCCTTTCCTCCTATGGCTAAAGGTTGGCCATGGCTTGTTTTATTCCTCAACTCTTTTCTCACATTCTCCATTTATCGCAGTGGAGGACCTGGAGAGGAACGACGGCAGCTCAGAACGACCCTATCTGATGTCTGATAACCTTCTGAATGTTCTGAAGAAGAAGAACCAGGCCAACTAGTCCACACCGACGGTCAGAGTTATACGTATACAGCGTGTGCATGTTTTCTGTGAGGCCTTGAAATAACTGGAAGTGCCTGAAATCGCTTTCGCTGCCATATTCACCGTGCCTTAGAGAGCCAGAGACGATCATATTAATTATGAAGCGTTAATTATGATTGACGTCCGTGTCTCGGCCATACATTGAGATTTATAATGCAGGAATACTACCAAAAACTTCGTTACAATTAGGTAAAATTACACCTCTGCTTTTTTTCAGAGGCTTTTTTGAAGTAGATTTATTTAAATGTCTAAAACGGTTTTGCAATAACTGACAAGCATTTTAATGCCCATTTTAAAGAATACCAGAAATGTGGGAGTGTTTCGCCCTAGGTTTGCGTTTTGATATTTAGTTAACTTTTTTTTGTTTGTTTATATTTATGGTTTTTATATAACAACACAATTCAGTGTCGTTCATTGTGCTGTTGGACAGTTGTTGAAGAATGTTTTCTTTGCCACTACATATGCGTAATCAATCATAGAACAATGTTTATGAATAAATATTTCAGATACTTTTCTTTTTAATGTTAGATCATCTTTTTATGTTCCTAAGAGCTAAATCTGTGGCCTTGTGTACATTTATAATAAGAAGTGCCTGTATGTAGTTCAGTTAAAGACTTCGACTTGAAAAGTGTTCATGACTTTATTCAGTGTTTTAAGATTGTTGTTACAGGTTCGTATGCCTCAATGCATGGTAAATAAAGAATTTTCTACAAAAAACTTGTGAAACCTGTTTATGAGACCTTTTTGATCAGTTATTGATAAGTTTTGTTCTGTCTTAAACATAAAAAATGTGAATTAACTGCCATATCAATGCTTATTTTAGAATTTAATAGCTGTAGAACTTTCTCATTTTCAGTTAGCCGCTAGGTGGCGCTGTTTACCAAATATACATAAGTCGCTATGTTTAGCAGAAGCTGTGTACTGGAGCAAATCTGACTTTGCACACTTTAATTTCAAATGTATTTTTGTGTAAAAAAAAAAAACAGGTCTAAAATAACGAAAAATTTGTAATTTGTTATTCACTACCGGTCAAACATTTTGGAATCATCAAGTTTGTTTATTTATTGTTAATATTATTCATCAAATACAGTAGAACAGTATATAGGGTGAATTGAGGTAAATGTACCCAAGTTCACTCTATTTTAAAGTCATCATTAAATCTTTAAATCAAAAGAAATGTTTTAATGGAATATCGCAGTATGTATTATAAATGATTTATCCATGCACATCTTTGTTGTTGTTGTTGTTATTGTAGTTCATGTGCCACATAATCTTTAATCAAAATATCTTCCCTTCCATCTTCTTTGATGACTTTACTTGTGTGAGGGCGGGGCAACCTGTCACTCACATCAGATCAGCCAATAGCAAACCACAACCACCAATGATTCCCCATGGACAAAATCAAGCCCCGGCCTACATTTTTTCTTGTTTGAGAAGCCATTTCACTCATATGTAGGCCTATGGATGCTTTTAACTACTGGGAAGTTCATATTTGTGAGTTGGAAAGTCCAGTTTACGATGTCAGTTGCGTTAAGGCACTTCATCGGAGTAAGTTAAGTTAGGCCTACTTAGTAGGCTACTTGTACTACAAAATAAAAATAAATAATAGGCTACAGGAAGGTTTTTAAACTCTACTTCTAGAAAATGAAGAACAAAGAATGTGCATCAGGTGTGTGTTTGCTTTTTTATGTTTTTAATTAATTTATGAAGCCACTATAAACTTCGTTCCTTATATATTGTTTACAATGCTATTATATTTAATGCAGGCAGTTTGCAAAATCACAGTCCCATAAGGAAGTTCTGTTGCTCTACATATAACCATGTTAAACAATCAACCTAGGTTACACTGTTTTCAAAGTGACTGATTTCCCTCAACAATACAGAAGCTCGGCTCCCATAGTGACGTGTGAATGCTTTTCCATGATAGCCAAATCTCCAGGGGCTGGTTTCAGTTTTATATAGCTCATAGCTTACACTTTTAGAGTTCAATCCACAGCTCAGATTTCAAGTTATTGTTTATTAACACAGAATATAGGTTTTATGTGTGCACAGCGAAAATGACATCATATTAGGTTCGGTTTTGTGGCCTTTGCCTCTAACCATCATTTTCACAAAATGTTAACCATGCCCTAATTATATTCTCACCTAATTTAGCTTCTCACTTCTGAGATAAAAAATAATTTGAGTTTGGAGAGTGACACCTGCTTTCCTAGCCTATTTGAAGCACGTAGGCTACGTCTCTACCAAAGTGTAAAATATTATTTGGAAAGCCGCAGTTAGATGAGATGCTCGCCAGTGACGACAGCAACACGTCACAGATCCCACGGGACGCACGCATGAGGTCTTCTTGAATAGCTTGAAGGACTTCCTGGCCTCCGTTGTGTGCCAACCAGAAAAGCCCTTCCCTCGGGCGGTTCATGATCTCGAGCCCTGTACTTTATGAGGAGGATAGAAGTAATAATTCAAATATAAGACTGACTGTCAGAGCCTTCATAATGTTTTTGGCACACAGTACAAATCAAAGTGTCAAATGCCCAACAGTTAATGCAAGTTTTAACCATTTAGCCCATGGCATATCTATAATATAGTCCATTCTGGCCTACTATATGCTATATATACCAACTATATAAATACATATAGGCCTATTAGCCTACCATGTAATGGTGTACATTTCACTTTGATTTTTACTGTATAGCCTATTTCACAAATAAAATTCTCTTTATCTGAGTTTTCTGATATTTAGATGTTCATAATATTAAGGTGTCTTATTATTTGGGCTGGTTTAACATTTAGTTTGTCATTTGTCAATATTAAAATTGTTTTTTTTGTATTGAAACTTGCAATTTGACATCTATATGTAGGCATATGTAGCCTTTTATTGATGTAGGCCTAAGTAGCCTACAAAAAGGCAATGTTAATTGTTATTGAAATAAAAGGCATAAATAGTGATCTTTATTTCTTTAGCTTATTTTGTTTTTTAAAAATCATTGACCTTTTTATAAATGTAGCCTACGTTTTGTTCAGGTCAAATGAAGTTACCGTAATATTCACAACTCAAGAATGAATGAATAATGAAATTTCCTCTGAGTCGGTAACCATAGTAGGCCTAACAGTTCGCTAATCGAGCGCTTTGTAGCAGTCTCAGACTGAACTAAAGGCTGGCAAAACGTATCAAAGTACGGTTAAATTACTTCATTATACATTTATAGTGATGTATAGCCTACTTCAAATATAGCCTTCGTGTTTTCTTTTAAGCTAACAGCGCCACGATATGGGTCGCGCGAGAGGAAGATCAACAGATGCGAAACTTGAAACTTTGAGTCAGAAATTCATTCAATTCGAATTCGAATTCCTTCGAAAATCGCTTTAAAGATGTCAGTTGCGTCCAGTGTTGATATAATGGCAACGTTCTTCTAGTGTTGTGTCGTACAGTGTAGACTTCCTCCTTTAACACCTCCCACTTCATGATGCCCTTATGAACGCAGGTGAAACGACACATCAGTGCTGGCAGTCTGACTCAAAGGAAAGATAGTTTAACATAATGGGGATTTTAGATTGGCGCTTCTGAAGTTATAGAGAATTTAAGCTGATAATCGTTATTTTTTATAAAGGCCTATAATCGCTTATTATTCTAAACATCTGTTTGAATATGCAGCTGTTTGATATAAATAACGCTTTATGCAACTCTCAAGATGTTTATTTTCTAGCGAATGCGAATAGTGCAATTAAGTTTGTTTTCTAAATTATTATTTTTACTTCTATGGTTATTCGTGATGGAAAGGATTATATCGTAAAAACATCCTTAAGAAATGGGAAAATGGGAGTTGACAATGGTAAGACGAATGATTTATTTGTGGTGTCTGTGTTAAATGAAAAGTAGTCTACTGTACAATCGCACACATAATGTAACTGTGTTATGAATCGAGTTGTGTGTGTGTGTGTGTGTGTTTTGCTGTGCCCTGAATGCACTTTAAATAGAGTTAACAGATCGTGTTCAGAAAATGTGCTGTCCCAGCACCTGACAGATATAGGCTACATCATTGCTGAAAGACGAGGCCATTCAATGTGGGTCAGAGAGAGAGGGGCTGGATGTTACTGGGTTAAAATAAATGGTCATGAATCACAGTTATACAATAGGAGAGACCGGGGCAAGTTGTCACAATGGCTATCAGTTAAACAGTTTAACACATGTGATTTTTCTAGCATTGCGTTTGAAATATCGAGTTCGAAACTGGATCATTTTTTGTAACTACATTTTTGTAATGCTGTTAAACCAAGTTAGTATTTTGCAATTGATTGTCATCAATATTACATTGTAATCAATATTACAATGTCTGTCTGACAAAATTTTTTTTTTACCCATCCCATTTTTCTATTTTTTTTTTATTTAAATAGACAATAGTACATTTTAAATGCATAAATGTTTAATATAGATGCATACAAAATAACAAGGAAGTACATGTCTACAGACATATATAAAGTATAGCTACAAAAATAGGATTTAACACAATTAAATAAAATATGATAAAGTCATAAAAACGTCTCTCATGAAAATAATTTAACCGATTTCAACTTAATTTTTAAGTTATGCGAGATTCAGCTTGTTTTTTTTAGGTCCGTTTAATATAATTTAATTCAAAGTGAATTGTGCAGCAAAACTGATTATACTTTAAAATTTAAGGCAGCTGCTGAAATTAGTTTTTTTTTGTAGAGTATAAAATTACTCAGAGTATGTAACGCATTACAGTAATGCATTATTTCGATATTTGTCTTATTGTGTGCTGTATAATAAGCTTATGATGTACCGTATGTTCTGAACGGACTAATCTACAACAGCCACCAGTTTATGCCCAGTTTGTGTGTGTCATGTGCCTCTGTTTTGTCTGCTGTGAGATTTGGGCTGGTGAATGTTGGCAACAGACATTAAGCCGAAGTAAATGACCTAGTCAGCAGCACTTCCAGTACAGCTTGGGAATCTGTGTTTGTTGGGCCGCTGGGCGTTATATAAAATACATAGTGATTTTTGTTCAGAAAGTAGATGTTATTCTTTTCTTTTCCTTGAATAATAGCAATTTCTCTCGTGCTTCCTGCTATCAGATGGCAAATGCCCATGACCTGGTGTGACCAGTGAGTAACTGGGTCATTCCTGGGATTCGGTAATATTTCAGTCCCTCTGACTTTTTAAAGTGGTGGTTCACCAAAATGAAACGTTAAAAGCTTTTCACAATACTTCAGTATGTCCGTTATGCATTTATATAATTATAGTCATAAAATAATGTCTTATTTCTATCGTACACTATAAGCATTCTGTCATGTCCCTGAGGCACTTTACTGAATTTGTACTTAGAAAATATTTAACAAAATGTGCACAGTATCTATAATTTTGGCAATATTGTAAGAATTTCTTTGTCACTTTCTTGTGAAAAATATTTTTCTTGAAAAAAAAAAGCAAGTATTGTAAAAAAAACAGACGTTATGTCCCTCAGTCTGAACATCAACCCCATCACGCCAACAATTCTCCTCCTATAATAATGACTCCACCCATATGTGACCTCACTTACCAGAAATGACATCATTCAGGTCTCTTTAACAGTGGTGCAGAAGATGGTAAGTAGTATCCTACTTTTTAATTCTTATTTTGAGGTGTATTATAGTCAGGGGGGGTACTGTCAAGCTTAACAACTCAACCCCATCACATAAAATTAAGATGGCAAATTATTATTTTTCACAATTTTATTTTAGTCCATAAGTATACACAATGTACTTATTTTATTGCTGAAATATTTTCAAGCTGAAATATTACCGAATTCCAGGAATGACCCAATTATTAATGTGTGGTTTAGATGAGATATAGAGCTGAAAGAGCAACCAGAATGGGTTTTTATATAGGACAAGATTTTAAAAACGGCTTTTAAAGGTTAAAAAATGCAAGCAGGTATTGATTTTGAAAAGCAGGATCGTTGTGCGTGTGATATTATGCAGCTTTAATGATATGTTTTGTATATATAATGCTATGTTTTGTGTCCCAGGTTGAAAATACAGAGTCCCAGGTGCATGTCCTTTGAACTGAAGCGCTCTGCCTCTTGAGCTGCAGACAGGTTCTCATTAGCTGTAGTGTTTGTTCACTGGAATAAATCAAAAGACACTTAATTTTGCTTATTCATAAGGACAGACTCATGTTATATTCAGAGATGGAGATTATAAGTTACAATAGCTGTAGTTATTAGCAATTGCTGAGGCAGGCAAGCTTTTTCAAAAAGCCACTGCTCTAAAACAAGTTTAAACTTTCCTGGCTATCCAGAACACCCTAGCGACCATCGTAGCAACCACCTAGAACACCATAGCAACACCCTGGCAACCGGCAAATCAATAGCATCACGCTGGTCCATTTTTCATACACTCTTCTCATAGAAACCTCTCAGAAACGCCCTACCAACTGCATAGCAATGCCTCTTCACATAGCAACCACCCAGGAACGCCATAGCAGCTGCATAGCAACACCCTGGCAACCCACAACACGATAGCATCATGCTGGTGCATTTTTCATTCTCTTCATATAGCGACAACCCAGAAACGCCCTAGAAACTGAATGGCAATGCCGCTTCACATAGCAACCAGCCAGAAATGCCCTAGCAACTGCATAGCAACACCCTGGCAACCCTTAACACAATAGCACAATGCTTGTGCATTTTCAAACACTCTGACTCTTCACATAGCAACCACCCAGACACATCCTAGTAACTGCATAGCAACACCCTGGCAACCCTCAACACATCATGCTTGTGCATTTTCATACATTCTTCACATAGCAACCCCTCAGAAATGCCCTAGCAACTGCATAGCAACACCTTGTTAGCCCTCAACACAATAGAATCATGCTTTTGCATTTTCATGCACTCTTCACACAGCAACCACCCAGAAACGCCCTAGCAACTGCAAATCAATGCATCTTCACATAGCAACCCCCCTGAAACGCCCTAGCAACTGCAAATCAATTTATCTTCACGTAGCAACCACCCTGAAACGCCCTAGCAACTGCATAGCAATGCATCTTCACATAGCAACCACCCTGAAACTCCCTAGCAACTGCAAATCAATGCATCTTCACATAGCAACCACCCTGAAACGCCCTAGCAACTGCATAGCAATGCATCTTCACATAGTAACCATCCAGGAACGCCCCAGGAATTGCATAGCAATACCCTGGCAACACGCAACACAATAGCATCATGCTTGTGCATTTTCATACACTCTTCAAATAGCAACCACCCAGAAACGCCCTAGCAACTGCATAGCAACATGCTTTTCTTGACTATTTTTCTTGACTTTATTTCTTATCAAGCACATGTTCATCCAACTGAAGCTTTGGATTTGAACAGTAGTCTCTTGTTTTGCTTGCTTGTTTTCACACATTCAGCTCTCCTCTTGTTTATCCGTTTAACCCGTCAATAATGGGCTGTAATTGACAGTCTTCAGTGTCATACCCGCTTCTAATAGTTTACAGTCAACAACACACAACCTATACTCAGCAAAAGAGGTAATCCTGACACAAAATCCCTCAGGTGTGCAGGTGTAGACTTGCCCTAATGTTATAGTGACATCAGCTGCTAGTCAGCCAGATGAAGCTTGTAATAATGACTCTTTGTCCTCGTGTCTGTGGTTTGCAAATCCATGCTGCTTTTAGCTGACAGCTCAGTCACCAGTGTTGTTTTACAAACAGTGCATTATGGGAAGGGTTTTTGTTGAAAAGTGCATGGTATTTGATTTAGAACATGTCTCGCCCATTTTGTAGCTATGTTATGGTTTCTTTGCTTGACTTGAATGTTTATAATATAAACATTTTAAAATGTATATGAGTCATAAGGGAGCGTGTACACTATTCTAACATTTGGGGTCAGTAAGATAAAAAAAAAGAAATTAATACTTTTATTCAGTAAAGATGCGTTAAACTGATCACAGTGACAGTAAATACATTTATAATGTTGCAAAAGATTTATATTTAAAATAAATGCTGTTCTTTTGAACTTTCTATTCATCAAAGTATCCTGAAAAAAGTATCATGGTTTCCACAATAATATTGTGCAGCACAACTGTATTCAACATTGATAATAACCATGTTTCTCAGATCTTTTCTGAAGGATCATATGACACTGAAGACTGGAGTAATGATGCTGAAAATTCAGCTTTGATCACAGGAATACATTACTATTCCTTTCAAATAGAAAACTGTTATTTTAAACTGTACAAATATTTCAAAATATTACTATATTAATATTTTTGGTCAAATAAATGCAGCCTTGGTGAGCATAAGAGACTTCTTTCAAGGATGAATATTTCTTACCTATACCCCAAACATTTGAATGGTAGTGTATATTTTAGGGATTGTGAACGGATGTATTGTGTCCTTGCTTATTTACTCACCCTTATTCAATTCTTAAAAAAATATTTGGTCAATTTGTTTTGTTGTTGTTGGATTTTTGTGGAACATATGACTAAGTATGGACTTGGTATGGACGTGTATAAGTCAATATAGAAAAACATAAAAAAAACTGTGTAAACTGGTCCTTAAACTACAATACTGTATATATATATAATGATCCTTCAGATATATATATATATATATATATATATATACTGTAACTGTATATATATATATATATTATTATTTTTTGGTATTGTCGCAGTAATGTCTTTTGTGTCATTGTCAAAGGAGCCTGTTCAGGAGTGGGGCGAGGAGCATGAAGACGGGGCGGTGTTCGGGATCACCCTGCGCAGAGAGCCGGTCCTGCAGTCAGCCGAGCCCACAGAGGCTTTCGTTCAGTACCGCACATGTAAAGTGCGCAGGTTAAAAGCGGCCACGCTGGACAGGCTGGTCTCTCACCTCCTGGACCCCTGCTGTCAGGAACAAGACTACGGCAGAATACTGCTGTCCGCGTATCACACGTTTACCAGCTCCAACAAACTCATCGAGATGCTCTTCCAGAGGTGTGTGTTTAGAGGTGCATATGGAAATGTGTGTTTGCGATAACAGGCTGTATTTGGCTATCTGTTGTTTGTGTGTTGGATTTCTCTACGTCATTTATTTATATAGTACGTCACCACTGATGATCACTTCCTTAAACTCATCATGACTGACTTCTGGTCTCGGTGGGTTAATGGGTTCATGTATTACCTTTTTTTATGAGAAACACTGCATCAATTAGGCACTTTTTAATTATATTTTTCACACTTTTGATTTAACACATGGGTTTTGAATGTCTGTTCAGACAGGCCTGTTTCGTCTTGGTTGAATCTTGCATCTAAATGCATTACTTTTAACTCTTTCCCCGCCAGCGTTTAAAAAAAGAAAAAAAAAAGAAAAAAGAAAAAGCCAGCCAAGTTACTTTCTCAACATAATGTGTGTCTAGACCAACTCTTTAATCTAGATTATTTATCTCTAATCACCATTGAGCTAAAAAAAAAAAAAAAAAAAAACTAAATTCAAGATCTAGATATCTGAAAACAAGTCTTAATCTTATGTAATTTTCTTGCTTGTTTTTTACTGTAAAACCAGACAAATACTAATAAGGAAAGGTTATATGCAGTTTTTGCATCAGTCCGTCATTCATTCTTGAATGTGTAAAGTGAAAAGGTGTGTTTTTATAGCTACTATCTGTTATAACACTGTTTTGTCAATAAGGTTTAATGACAAGACGTCTTAAACTAATTAAGCACTACAGTACTGTTAATGTTTTTTTATAAATACTATTCATAAAGAAGTATACCTTTTCATCTTTTCTAATAGGGACAACTCTTCGCTTGACAGCACCAGTTACCCTGACAGGTAAAAATATACGCTGACAATAAGATGTTTGACACTTTTTTTTTTATGTCCAGTAGACCATGATTAAATGAATCTGGGTAGGGCCTATCTGTTTATCCAACCAATAGCAAATGGAGGAAGCATATTATTTTTGAAATTATGTTTTGTGCCTCTATAGTGGTGGATAAATTATACTGGATCTTTAAGTCAAGTCAACTCACCTTATTTATATAGCACTTTAAAGCTCTTCACGCCTTGGCCCCCAGCTACATAGCTGGTATTATTCATCCGCATGTAGCTCCCAGGTCCCTTAGATCTTCCAGCCAAGGTCTTCTCCATGTCCCGCGGTCCCGGCTCAAACAAAAAGGTTATAGAGCCTTTTCCATTGCTGGCCCTCAGCTGTGGAACCAACTGCCACCTGACATCAGAAATGCTTCGTCTATCACAATTTTCAAAACCAGACTCAAAACTCACTTATTTACATTGGCCTTTCCTGCGTTTTAATTGTCTTACTGTGCTATGTCTGTATTTATATTTGTATTTATTATATTTTTTATTATTTTTAGTTTTTTTCTGGCTATTGCGCTATGTACAGCACTTTGGTCAGTGCAAGCTGTGTTTAAATGTGCTATAAAAATAAATTTTACTTACTTACTTACTTACTTTATACAATACAGATTGTTTCAAAGCATCTTCACAGTGATAAACAGGAACATAATGATCAATGATGTAAAGCAGTGTCATTATTCAGCTGAAGTCAGTTCAGTCTCGATTTAATTCAACTTTAAACAAGTCCGCTCATTTCGTAGGGTTTCTGATGTACAATTTTGAAAATACAGCTTCAATACTTGATTTGTTTTTACCCCTCTTTCCCGATTTCCTCGTAGCTGTTTGTGGACTTTGCTCCAGATGTGGTTGGACGAGTACAGTGATGATTTCAGGGATCCTCCCATGCACTCTTCCCTGCGTCTCATGTGCTTACAGCTGAGAGGACACCCCTTTCTCTTCCCCCTGGCTAAACACTATGAAGCGCTCCTGAAGAAATTCCAGACTGAAGGTCAATACTGGATTATTTGTTTGTTGTGCACATCATTTGAAGATTTTATTACTTGATATAGGCTGAAAAATGTGTATGGATCAACATTTAGCCTCTTGAATAAGTGAAGCCAACTACAATTTAAACTCTTCTGTCTTTTGCACATCCAGATGTTGTGGCAGATTGTCCAGTTGATTATATAGAAGAACCAGGCTTGAATAAGGAGGCGAAAGACGTTGAGTCAGATAACCTTGCAGATTTCATGGATTTCTCCATCACAGATGTTACAGAACAGCTCACCCGTGTGGATACCGTGAGTGCCATTGCTTCATTGCTTCCTTATGGTCATGGTGACAGTCATCTTGTAATGTTGGTGTTTCTGATGTTGTAGGACTTGTTCATGAAGGTGGTCCCTTTCCAATGTCTGGGCTGTGTGTGGTCCCAACGAGACAAGAATGAGAACCTCTCACCCACTGTTTGGGCCACCATCACCCAGTTCAATGCAGTCACCAACTGGGTCATCACTTCTCTGCTCCATCCCTCATCTTCTGCCTCTTCCTCCACAACCGCAGAAAGAGCCAGAGTCATTGAAAAATGGGTTCGGGTCGCACAGGTATGCCCTTTTTACAGAAAAAAAGTGATGCTGCAATGTCTACTGAGAAAATTAAAGTGTTTTTGACCTTGGATGCATGTCAACCTATTGTAGGTGACCTCCAAAACAAAAGTAGGAACCTTTAAAATATCATTATAGGTATTAAAGAAAGACTTATTTATTTTGACGCAGGGGTGCAGAGAGCTGAAGAACTTCTCCTCTCTTAAGGCCATTTTATCTGCCCTTCAGTCCAACCCCATCTACAGACTAAGGAAGACCTGGTCTGCTGTGAGCAGGTACTTATATACACCCTTCAAATGTAATTGGGTTTTATGGCCACTATAGTCTCATACAGCTGGTTTTGTTTTCTATATTTCTAACCAGCAAGTACTTTGTAGAAAACCCTGAGCCACTGGTGGGAAGCCATATTTCATTGCAAACCTCTGATTCTGTATTTCCAGAGAAGCCGTGTCTGTCTTTGAGAACCTGACCAAAACGTTCCCTGATGAGAACTGTGTTCTGACCAGCCGAGAAATCTTTGTGGATGTAAGCCATGAATATAGTGTCTGTTATTTAAGTATTATTTATGTAGTATCATATTTATGATAGATTTGAATTAATATTTGGATTTTTTATTAATTATTTTAAATTAGCTTTAATTTGTATATTTATACACACACACACACACACACACACACACACACACACACACACACACACACACACACACACACACACACACACACACACACACACACACACACACACACACATATACAGTATATATAAAGATTTTTAGTTTAAAAAAAAAAAAACCATAATAAACACAATAATCAAAATGCTTTCAAACTATCTTGAGTTGGTGTTTCTGGTCCAGATTTGAAGTCACTTCTTGCGACGTGAATTTAATTTAATGATCTTTTATAATTTCAAGTTGAACACATTTGATCTCATATTTGGAGTTATTTTCTCTCTTAATCCACTTATGCTATTATAAATTGAGACACAGGTGCTGTTTGTCTAAAACTGACTTCTCTGTTCGACCAGAGTGTGCTAAGATTATTATAGCAATGATCTGATCTCTGTGTTCACATGAAAGCACTATTATAAACATTTCTTATTATTATCAATGTTGAAAACTGCTGCTTAATATTTTTGTGGAAATTGTGACGCATTTTTAAAAGATTATTTGATGAATAGAAAGTTCAAAGGAACAGCATTTATTTGAAATATAAATATTTTGTAACATTATAAATATCTTTACAAACATTTTTGATTAGATTAAAGCATCCTTGCTGAATAAAAGTTTTAATTTATTTTTAAAAACAATCTTACTGGCCCCAAAATTTAGAACGGTAGTACAATCTAATTATGCATCGATTATTTTACCCAGTATTTGTATGTGCTATGTACTTTTAAGATTATTAGGGTGTCACATGCTAGCTTGATTACATGTTGTTTCTCACATATTATAGGATGGGAGTCAAGATGACATGGATAACAATACCACAAAAACATCCAAAAGATGCCCTCTAACAAAACAGATGGTAAAGATGACAGATGGCACACTTTTTTATATTTAATAATCAATGTTTTACAGTGATACTATTCAGGTGATTAATAGCTGAGTGATTTTTTTTCCAGAGCTCAGCTGGAGGAACAGTTCCATACCTGGGCACGTACCTTACAGTATTGAACATGCTGGACACTGCCCTGCCAGACACTGTGGAGGTGAGGTTGGAATCATGTTTGTTTAGGAATGGCGGAGTGCTTGACTTTATTAGCGGTGCTCATACTATTACATATTGTTCACCTTGCGACACCTCAGCAACCATACCCCAGAAAACACCCAGAACACCTTAGCAGACACATAAGTGTGTGCTAAAATCACACAGAACACTCTAGCAACTACCTTGCAACCACTCAGAAATATCCTAGTTACCATCCACAACACCCAAGCTACACCATAGCAACAACCTAGCAACACTCAGAATACCCTAGCAGAGAATGTGATAAAAACCACTCAGAACACCCTAGCAGCCGCATAACTGCGCGCTAAGAACACACCGAACAACCTAGCAACTAACTTGCAGCCACTTAGAAATGTCCTAGTGACTATCCAGAACACCCTAGCAACACCATTGCAACAACCTAGCAACACCCTAACAACACTCAGAATACCTTAGCAAAGAATGTGATAAAAAAAACAATCAGGCACCCTAGCAGCCGCATAACTGTGTGCTAAAGCACACAGAACAACCTAGCAACTAACTTGCAGCAACTTAGAAATGTCCTAGTGACCATTCAGAACACCATAGCAACAATCTAGCAACACCCAGAATACCCTAGCAGGGAATGTGATAACACCCAGAATACCCTAGCAGAGAATGTGATAACACCTAGAATACTCAGCAGAGAGCAGGCACTCAAAACACTCAGAACACCCTAGCAACTACATTGCACCCACTGTCCTAGTGACTATCCAGAACACCCTAGCAACTACATTGCACCCACTGTCCTAGTGACTATCCAGAACACCCTAGCAACTACATTGCACCCACTGTCCTAGTGACTATCCAGAACACCCTAGCAACTACATTGCACCCACTGTCCTAGTGACTATCCAGAACACCCTAGCAACACCATTGCAACAACCTAGCAACACCCTAGCAACACTCAGAATACCTTAGCAAAGAATGTGATTAAAAAACAATCAGGGCACCCTAGCAGCCGCATAACTGTGTGCTAAAACACACCGAACAACCTAGCAACTAACTTGCTGCAACTTAGAAATGTCCTAGTGACCATTCAGAACACCATAGCAACAATCTAGCAACACCCAGAATACCCTAGCAACACTCAGAATACCCTAGCAGAGAATGTGATAACACCCAGAATACTCAGCAGAGAGCAGGTACTCAAAACACTTAGAGCACCCTAGCAACTACATTGCACCCACTGTCCTAGTGATTATCCAGAACACCCTAGAAATCACTTAGCAACACCCATAATACCCTAGCAGAGAATATGATAAAAACCACTCAGAGCACCCTTGCAGCCGCATAACTGTGTGCCAATATCACACAGAACACCCTAATGACCATTCAGAACACCTAGCAACACCATAGCAACAATCTAGCAACGCCCTAGCAACACACAGAATACCCAAGCAGAATATTTGCTAAGAACATCAAAGTAGCTGTATTACAGTGTTTACAGAAATCACACACAACACCAATGCTCCAGTGACCAGCCTGAACACCCTAGCAACTACGTAACAACTATTAAAACATCTAATCAGACACCTATGGTAGCAATGCCCTGATGTTTGCATAACTCACATTTCTTTTGAAAATGTAAAAATGTCCTTTTTTTCTTATCAGTTTTTAATTTGGTTTCACATGCAGTGTAATATCATAATGTATCATTTTGATTAATATCTGTACATAATTTATTATCAACAGGGTGGCCTCATTAATTTCGAAAAGAGGAGACGGGTGAGTCCTTCTGTTTGTTTATCTTCTTAACTGTCTAATTAAATGTATCCAAAGCAGTCTTTGTCCAGATCTTGTTGTTATAGATTTGGTAAGAGCTCATTCTGAATAGACATGAAGTCCTCTTTAAAGCTTTGGTTTGACGTCGGCGCCGTAGAGATAGACTTATGTTTAAAAAGCACTCTCTTCCTCCGAAGGCAGACTGATGTTAATCTCATGACTGATTATTTGTGAGGGGTGTGTTACATAACAGTCATGCTAACAGTCTTTGGCTTTGTTTCCTCTATTTCACTTTAATCTCTTGCTCTGTATATTCTTGCTTCGCCTCTCATTTCTTGGGAATCACTCCCGCTGTTTTACAGGAGTTTGAGATTTTAAGGCAGATCCGTCAGCTGCAGGCCTCGTGTTCTCAGTATGTTTTACCCCGTCATCCTCAGATCGCCGCCTGGCTACAGAGTCAGAAACTGCTGTCGGATCAGGAGAGGTGAGACTCCAACGCCCGAATCCTCTGAACCGAGTCATGATAGATTTACAAAAAGAGTGGGCAAATGTGTGGATCAAAATAAATACTATACTTTAGGTCCTTTTTTGAGGATATCAAATTAATATTAATCTCAATGTCAATTTATTTGTAAAGCACAACTGAAAATAAAAATATAACATAATAATAAAATATAATATAAATATAAAAACTAAAATAATATAATTTAATATAAATATAAATACTGCAATTTAAATATATTAAATGAAAACTAAGACAGAAAACGATAAACATCAGGATTAAGTTTAATCCTAAATGTAAATAGCAAAACAGCACTAATAAGTTCAATTAAAATAAAATAATGGTAACACTTCATAATAAGGTCTCATCTGTTAATAGTAGTTAATGTATTAACTAACATGAACTAACAATGAGCAATATATTTTTTACAGTATTTATTCATCGTTTTTAATGTTGGTTAATAAAAATCCAGCTGTTCATTGTTTGTTCATTTTAGTTCAGTCCATTAAATAATGTCAAAAATACAACATTTGATTTTAATAATGTATTAGTAAATGTTGTAATTACCATGAACTAATATTAATAAATGCTGTAGATAAAAGTATTGTTCATTATTAGTTTAGTAGTTAACTAATGTCAACTAATAAAACCTTACTGTAACGTGTTACCAATAAAATAAATTGATAAAAAAATAAAATAAAACAAGGAGTATTGGAACCTTACAAATATTCCTCCAGAATTCTGTTATGAGATCACTTCCTTTATCTTAATTGTGCTTGTTGTGTCACTGTCGTCAGCTATGAACTTTCCAGACAGCTGGAGACTCCTCATGACACTTCTCCATCTAACAGCGGCTGGAGTCACCAAACTCTCACCAAAAAGCTCTCATCGTGAGTATCAGTTTGAACTCCATTTCTAACTTATGTCAGGGCGCAGATAGGATTTCTTGAGTTTGCTGCAATTATCCTATTAGCTGCAAGCTTTCATTAGCATAATAGAGTGTACACAACAGAGATAACGTGACTTAACATGGCAAGAATTTATGTTTGCAGGCTCTTGTCAGGAAATGAGGGCTCGCGAAAGAACGCAGATCAGATCAGCGTGTCCTCGTCAGGATCCAGCGGCTCTGAAATTGAGGAATCACCGGTACTACACATACAATTTTATATCAATTTAGAAGCTTTTATTTTGTTAGATCTTAGTAGAAACATTTAATTATATACACACACTGACACACACACACACACACACACTGTCTCTATTCGCTTCTAAGGTCTTGACCGTCTTTTACATCATATCCTGCAGACACTAAAACTTTTGTCCTTGTTTTTAATTTCCCACCAATCTGACACGAGTTTTCGTCGCTAACATGACTCAAGCACGGCGTTAAAGAAGTCATCTCTGTGTCAGCAGTCATGCCTTCTGTAACTTTGCACCGTATTCAGGGACATACTTGCGTCAGATACTACAGATACTTAAAAAAAATATTTTAAATTCTTGAAAATTTTGGCCCTAATCGCTTCCTTGACGTCATTTGAAGTTGCTGAGACCAAAAATTCAGTTTCATTAAGTGTCAACAAAATGTTGAAGGCTCTTTCACAACATTAACGTTTATGCATTTGTGTACTTGCATTCAGGCTACACTTTATCAGGAATGAAACCCATGATTATATTCTACAAGGCTGATCTCATTTCATGTCTCTCATATGCTTTCATCCTTTTCACATAATTAAGTAATTTAAACTCAAATCAACATTGTCCATGTCCATTAATTTGTTTAGCCATATTGATATGGTATTATCATTCAGTCATTATACTGACTGTTTAGCTCAACTGGTATTTTCGTCTCAGAGTGTTATGGTGCTTTTTATGGTGTCATATGACGTTGTCTTTTTGTAACTGGCTCTAAAATGTGATTCTCTCCTTTCATCTCTAGTCTCTTTCCAGTTGCGTTCAGAACACGCCCAAGGGTTTTCCCTCGTCTTCCTCTCCTGATTCCTCTACCATGTCTAGTTCATCCTCCAGCTCTCACCAGGACCTCAGTCTTAATCCATCTTCCTCATCCTCGTCTTCTCCAGCGTCAGCTAACCCTCACCTGGTCTCCTGCCATAAGCGCTCGTTCTCCATGACCACCCTGCCCTTCTACAACAGACAGGTGGACGACTCCTGCATCATCAGGGTCAGCGTGGAGTTCTGCAACAATGGCAACATGTACAGGAGCATACTGGTAAGTTCTTGCCCTTGGGACAGTGTTTTTTAAGACCGCCTTTTTGATATCAACAACTACAGATTTTGTACAGTTAATTCCCGGCATGGGAGGCGTGCTAACAAGGGCACTATATAGACCGCAGCTTCTTGAGACCAGGGGAGTGAGGTTTACTCACACAGCTCTTACTAGCTGGTAGGGGTTGCACGGACTAGTCAAGTAGTCAACTTTAATGCTCTGCCATGACGCTTTAAAGGGATAGTTCACCCAAAAATGAAAATTTACTCATTTAATCCTAGGTGTGTATGACATTCTTCTTTCAGACGAATACAATCGGGAGTTATATTAAAAAATGTCCTGGCTCTTCCTGGCTTTATAATGGCAATGAATTGCTGTTTCTGTTTTTAAGTCCATAAAAGTGCATCCATCTATGATAAAAGTGCTCCACACGGCTCTGTGGGTTAATAAAGGCCTTCTGAAGCGAAGCGATGCGTTCGTGTACAAAAAATATCCATATTTAAAACTTTACAAAGTAAAATAACTAGCTTCCGGCCAAACGCACATATGGATTCCACTTAAGTGTAAACCGGAACTTATGTGAGTAATGCAACGTACTGCTGATATTTATGCTACGCCATGACGCACGCATGCGCTACTTCTGTTTACATCAGTTAAAATGACAAATAAATGCATACTCTGAGAGAGCTCCACAAGATGTTTTATTATACCATCTGGATGCTCAGAATTCATCGGATGAATGCATGTTTTAAACAGCATAAGTTAATTGTGTTTTTTTACACGCAATCCCTCTCACTAATGCGTTCATATAAATATTTAAGGCTCGTTCACACCAAGGACGATAACTTTAAAGATAACCATAAAGTAATAGTTCTAAAAATCATTCTCAATATTAAAGAAGAGCAGAGTCCTCTCCACAGCTATAACAATAATGACACAGAGAGACGATATTGTTGGAATCACTTTCAGAACGATTTTATCCAGCTGATGAACGATAAAAACATTGACAGCCAATCAGAATCAATCCTGGTGTGAGGAGCTCGAGCATTTAAAGTGACAGAAATCCACAGGCTTAGAAACCAAACGATATCATACACTGGTGTGGACGCTAATAGTTATCTTTATAGTTAGCGTTCTTGGTGTGAACGGGCCTTTATTGTGCTGCTTTATCTGTATCTGATTTAGAACGAGCAGAAATCCGTGAGAATTATAACGAACCAAAGACAAAAGAACTGATAAAAATAAACTGCTATGTAGGAGCAATAGCCTTGTGGGCAGCGCTGTGTCATATGCCATAAGCTCGAGGTTCAGGTTTATTTCTTCATTATTAACGTCATTAGTGACTAGTTGACGTTGTTCAACCCCTACTAGCTGGCCTCCGTAATTATCCCCCACTAAACCTCACTCCCATCCGGGTCACGGCACCAATGTAACCCCACCGGTACTACTCACACCACTCCAAACGGGATTCAAACTCAAGAGGCTCGCTGGCGACTGACACTAGAGGTTGTTGTCTTTAGTGTCCTTGTTAGCGTGCCTGCCTCCCATGCCGGAAACGCTGGTTCGAATCCCGCTTGAAGAACCGGAGGAGTTATATAACTGATGCTACAGCTTATCCTCACTTCTCTATGCCAATTTGGAGGGACGTTAATGCAAGAATTTGCCAATGATTATATATAATTATATAGCTTTATTTATTTAATATAGATTAAATAAATAACCCCCCCCCAAAAAAAAAAAACTAAACAATGATGTAATGTTCTAGGTACTCATCTTAATTAGTATTCATTTCTGAAAGCCTAAGAATGGCTTGAATAATAATGCATTGAATGTTACTTATAGGTGCAATTTAGCATCTTTTATATTTGCTACTTAATCATAATCATCATCCTCAAATGTATAATTACCAGGCTGGTATGTTGATTGTATGTTGATTGTTTGTTAAATGTTACAAACAATAAAATGTTGTTGTTTGTTAAATATAAATATAATTACTGTTATGAATTCAATAAAGATCTAAGAGTCATTTTGTGCAGAAATCCACATCATTCAAAACCTGTTCTTTGAGTCAACATTTATATCCTCTTCTGCTGGATATCACTACTAAAGATTGTGGAAGATTGCAGTTCTTTTATTTCTTAAAGAGTTCTGTAAACATTTAGCAGAAACTGGAGTGAATTCTGTTCTTTCTCAACTGACTTGTATGTTTGTTTGTTTTTACGATCTCTTGCGCAGTTGACCAGTCAGGATAAGACGGCCCAGGTGATCCAGAGAGCTCTGCAAAAACACAACCTGGAGGATGTTAGTGAGCAGGATCTCACCCTTGTACAAGTCCTGGCCCAAGGCAGAGGTACTGAAAACTGGTTTGACTAAATGGTAACACTTTACTTGAAGGGGTGTGCATAAGACTGACATGACAGCTTCATAATCATGACATGACGCATGTCATGAATATGAAGGAGGTTTTATGCATGTTTATGACAACTGTCATGAAGTGTCATTCCCTCAATTATGACATATTAATGCAAATATGACATTGTTTGAGATGTCTTGTTATGACACCTTGACAAACCAATACATAATAACCTGTCAGTGTCATGACAACTTGACATTACTAAGACAACACAACCTATCATAAATATGTCATAAACATGACATAGCAGATTAATTATCAAACTTAAAAAACCGCTTAGCTTTATGGGTTAATATTACATTAAACTGTCATGTGGTTGGTTTTGACATTGGCTGTCATGAGGCCATTATAACATTTTAATGACAAATTACATTTGTACCACTGTAGTTGAGGTCAAGAAAATATTCATGACACAGTTATAATGGCCTCATGACAGCCAATGTCAAAACCAACCACATGACAGTTTAATGTAAAGTTAACCCATAAAGCTAAGTAGTTTCTTAAGTTTGATAATTAATCTGCTATGTCATGTTTATAACATATTTATGACAATTTATGTTGTCTTGGTAATGTCAAGTTGTCATTACCAAGACACTGACAGGTTATGATGTATTGGTTTGTCAAGTTGTCATAACAAAGACATCTCAAACAATGTCATATTTGCATTAAAAATATTTCTCATTTTTGCATTAATACATGCATAAAACCTCCTTCATATTCATGACATGTGTCATGTCAGTCTTATGCACACCCCTTCAAGTAAAGGGTTTTCCGAATAAATTAAACTTGTCATTATTAAAATATAGAAACCTTTGAATCCCACTATATGTTTATACTATATTAAAACTATAAATGGAAGGTTTTTTGGTTTTATTCAAAATAATGCACATGTGCAATACTCATCATTTGTATGCATGTTTTTGTTGTAGAGTTGCATATTCCAGAAAAGGCCAATGTATTTTACGCCATGTCTACATCAGCCAACTATGACTTTGTTCTACGGCGATGCCCAAAAGGCCAACGGAAGCAACTCATACGCTCAGTTTCACTGTCATCAGGACGAGCAACGAAATAACCGCGGATTCAGCCTCGATTTCTGACGGATTCCTATTTCCTGTGCAGTTGTTGAAGACACGTCATTCAGACACAAATGGAGATGTGTGAGATCGAAAACAAGTCATTTGAAGACAATAAAAGACTATTTCTGATCCACATTTCACCTTGGGAGGTGATGCAAACTTCATGAGACGCCGTTCGCAAGCTATTGTACTTCCATAATGTATTTCTGTTTGAAACAGGATACTTCGTTGAAAGGTTAGAATATGAGGGTTTGGCAACGTTTTTACATTTTGATGTATAATTCATTTCTTTGGAATAACATGCACTAATGAATCATGCATGATAAAATCAAGAACATTCTTAGATGAAAAGATTCTATATAGAACCTTAAAGGGTTCTGTTCTGTCAGGCACTTCATTTATAGAACATTTTATGGGTTCCCATCATGGGATCATTTTATGGATTTACAGTAGTTTTAATTAATTAATTAATTTTATGACTTAAACAGCTTGTAAACATACATTTTCACTGGAAATGAAGACATTTCACTCCTTATATACTTATATAGAACCTTTTTGGCATAAAATGTTCTTTAGAGTTAAGTCAAGAACCTAAGGGTTCTATATGGAACTGAACCTTTTATTTTCTAAGAGTATATATATATATATATATATATATATTTATATAAATCGTGCCAATTATGTTGACTGAAGGGCTTTGCAATGGAAAGGCAACCATCACATGTTCAGTTTCATGAACTGATAACCCTGTAAATTGTTTGAAGTGACAAGAGACAGATAACAAACACGGCACCTTCTTGAATTCCTCACATTCAATGCAGTGATAATGGGATAAAGCAATGCTTTTCAATGACCTTCCGCTGTTGTGAGACCGTCTAACCAGATCCACTGTATGATAATGCACTTACTTCGAATTGAAACACAATCGGACACCTAGAGGCCTGGAATGAGACTTGTTTAATGTCCACACAGAATGCCTATGGTTAATACATCATCAGTTCAGTGTTCCTTCTCATTAAACCACCAGGATGCGGGAAGACCGGTGCAGTGGCATTCCTGAGACACGCTTTCATGCTGTTGTCCACAGTTACATGTCATTTCAGTCACATGTCATTTGATGAATCCAGTTTTTACAAGAATATTATTTCTGATATTATTGTATGAGGCTGTGTGGCTGCACTGCTGTATATTCTCTACTGATATTTTTACACCACTATGTCTTGTATCCTCCTTTATCTGCTCAAAATTCAGTAACTTGACTCTCCACAATCAGTCTACTTCTACGGACTTATACTGTACAAGCTCTTGCAGTGTAAAATTAACAAGATAAATTATATTATCACTCTAAGATGTTTGAAATGTAGATATTTTAGTAATGCAATATTTATGTTAGTTTATGTATATTACAGTTATTTTAATCATTTCAATGTTTCATTTATTATTATTTTTAATGTATTTTTTTTTATTTGATTGTATTTTATTTTATATTATTATTTTATTTAAAATATTTTTTTAACTCAATGTTTTCTGAACCCTGCAACATTTCACTGATGAACTTTAAGCAATTTTGTCTGAAAAACAATGTAAAAAAACATGTAAATAAATACACAGAAGTGAAACGTGAGCGCAATCTACATGCTGATCTGAGATGAAAGATGGTTATGCACAGATCGATGTGGATTTGCTGCTATGGATGGAGAGGCATTGTGAAAATGAGCTGGTATAAAATGCTTACGATGTCTGAATATTCTCAAAGGTCTCTGACACAAGCAAGAAGCATCTAAAGTCACACTTGCAAATGTTGGTATAGGACTGGGTGATAGGCACCTAAGCAGCCTTATATTAAGCTATGATTAGCAAATCTTAAAGCACCTGTTCAGTTTTATATCTTGAAGACTTGACTAGGACGGCATTGAGATTTCAGTGACCTCAGCAGATCACGCGGAGAAATAAATAAATAAAATGATTGTGATTGTTGGAGTCTATCATCTGAGTCTGTGGCACAACTTTGTCCTAAGCAGTTCCTGGAAGGGGTTTCCTACGCAGTCCAACACTTTTAGTGTTTCTGACCCTGATGTACTGAATTATGGCCTGTGGACTTAAAATGGACTTGCCATAACCATGTAACTTGTTTTAAAAACCTCTTGTGATTCCTCATTCCTAAACTTATACTTGTATAATAATAATTATGCATAATTATGACATAAAAAGTCATAATTATGAGCCCAAAAGAAAAAAAAGTCACACGCTAAGTTATAATTATGAGATATAAAGTTGGAGTTATGACATGTTGAAATTGAGATATGAAGTCACTGTGGCATGAAAAATCGAATTTGCATATCATAATTGACTTTTTGTCATATTTATATATTTTTATCTCATAATATCGACTTTTATGTCAATTTTGACTTTATCTTATAATTAAGACATAGTTAATTTTTGAGTTTTTTGTCATAATTATGACTTTTAATATTATAATTAGCCTATATTAATCAAAGCATGATTTTTTCGTATGTGGTGGGAAAGGGCTTCCATACTTAGGCCTATGTGCCAAAGAACTGCGGGTTTTCTTTTTCCATCAGGTTTTAGAAGAGACAAAATTACTTTTAAAACAATATACAGTACAATTACCAAAATGCGAATTTGAATTAATTAAGGTGAATTAATTAACCACAATTATACCCTGTATAATACCAGGTATAATAAACTTGTAATTAACCAATTAACCATGAAGGTGAATTAATTAAAAGACGCAATGGCAGGCAATGAGTAATTAGACGTTGGGAGACGTAGGCCTAATTGATTACCACGTGACCTCTAGTGATTAACAGGGCCTGCCTGACTGATAGAAAAGCTCTCGTGACGTTCACTGGTCCGTTTGAATGTGTTTTGAAACAATTTTCAAAGCGACTCGGTGAGAGGATCAACGGATAGATATTATAATAAATTGCAGCAAAAGCCTATCTCTCGTTTACTAGTTGTTTAATGAAAGCCAATTGTTAAATAACCGCGAGTATATCGTGGTTGTAAACCGTGGTTTAATTAGTTAGGAGCGAGTATTTTTTAGGTTAAAGTGAATGATGGACACAGGACGGACATTAGGCTTTACATGGTTAATGTGCCAATTTCTGCCAAAGACTCGTGTAAGTAGGTTATTAAAAACACATAATGCCTTAAAATCTTTGCTAGTTTTTAAGGATGGTCAAATGATAGGCTATTTATTTGTTTTAACACCGTTAGGTCAAATAAAGACAGTGGAGTTGGATGGAAATAAGGCAGGATTGACAGGCGACATGGAGGAGGTGAGTGAGGTGGATGCAAATATTGGATGTTTTCATAACCCTGAACACTAAACCCTTAAGTTAAGCAAAACCCCCAGAAATGTACTCTCTAAATAACGTCCAATGCTTAGTAGCCTACTGTTTTATTTTTAGGTCATCTCACATTTACAGCGCCTCTTTCTGCAATTACCTCATCGCACCAGTAGGTGGCGACAGATGACTGTCTTTAAGTCAATGCTGTCAGTGATGTAACTCTGATCAATCATTTATTTAGAGTAAGAACCCTGACTATATTCATTTATGGTGGTTCCAGTGCAAAGTGTGTACCTGTTATACGGTGACCTAAAACAACAGAATAAATACAATATATAAAGATAAAAAAGGAAGTAATTTACTCTTGTTATATCAAAGGCAGACTGAAGTGAAAAGGACGGTAAATGAAATTTTGCATTTTGGCCACTAGATGGTAGAAAAAGCACAGCCTTATGAGAACATAATCAACATAATCAAACTATTTTGTCATCTAGGTTGCTCTATGTTGGACATGTGCATATTTTCTGCTCACTTTGTACTGAAATATTGTCCTATCCCAAACTTAAGTTTATTTACTTAATGGCAGGGGTGAGTAGAACGTATTCAAACCAAATCATGTCAAATAGTCCAATACAAAAATATAGAGAACAGAGAATAATTTGATCATGTTCAGTGTGTCTGGGTGGAAACGCCTGACTCACTCTCTGGCAGGACTGTGGGGTTTTCGGGCCAGACAAGAGCAGGTCCTGAGTCAGTGCAACAGGCCCTCAGTGGGTCGCAGCGTGGGTGCGGACACGGATACGGATACGGAGCACCCCACGATTAATCAGACCCAGCCGCCTGACCGTTTTACTGTACACCGAAACCGAGCGACATGACACAACTAGAATGATGAAATCGAGCTTTTCAGTCAGTGTTTCTTTGATCACCATGAGGGTGTTCTAGCTTTATTGCACCACATTGTACGCTCGGTGTAGATAGGCCGTTAAACTTGACTACGCTTCAGTAAAGTTACAATCTAAACAGATTATTTTGATTGTCACTACTGATGTGTAATCTAAACTTTCGGTTTAATAAAAGGCGTCGTAAATAACAGTGTGACCACTGTTCAAAAGCTTTTGGGTCGGTAAGATTTTTAATGTTTTTGTAAGTCTTCTGCTCACCAAGGCATTTGATCAAAAATACAGTAAAACTGTAATATTGTGAAATGTTATTACAATTTAAAACAACTTTTCTATTTGAATCCTTTGTAAAGTGTAATTTATTCCTGTGATCAAAGCTGTATTTTCAGCATCATTACTCCAGTCTTCAGTGTCACATGATCCTTCAGAAATCATTCTGATATGATGATGCTCAAGAAACATTTCTGATTATTATCAGTGTTGAAAACAGTTGTGCTGCACCGCGTTTATCCGCGGTTATTTTGTGGAAACCTTTTTTTCATGATTCTTTGACTCAAAAGAACAGCATTTATTTGAAATATAAATCTTTTGTAACATTATAAATGTCTTTACTGTCACTTTTGATCAATATGATGCATCCTTGCCTAATATAAAATGTTAATTAAAATTCAAATCTGATCCCAAACTGACCGTGTATTTAAGATCTTGGGAAGACCAAATATAATAAGAGCTAAAAACGACCATTTGTTGTGACCATTCAAAATCAATTTGAACTTGTCTTACTGTATATTTGTCATATTAATCATTTGCATCCAGTCAGAATGAAAGGGATTGACTTTATTATTATCCACGTTTGATTTCACCAACTCATTTCTGGAGCTGTCTAGAAAGAGCTGTAAGAAAGCAACCATAAAACACACAGATATTACAAGGTAAATGTGTTTTATGATGGTGGTAAAAACACGACTCCCGACTATTCCTGTAATCCATG